CCGAACACGAAGATAACACAAAAAATAAACAACTATGAAAAAGAAGAAGACAAAGACCAAAACGGGATATACAGTATACAATGCTCGGACTGCAACAAATTCTATATCGGCCAAACCAAGAAAAAACTGATCCAAAGGTACAATGAGCACAAAAAGGCATACATAAATCCAACAGTATATAAATCAAACCTTGCAACACACACCATACAAAACAATAATAATTTCCCCCCACCAAAGAACATAAAACTAATAAAACAAATCAACAAGGGAAACCGCATGGACATTTGGGAAAACTTGAACATCCATAAATTCAACAGTCATAAATCACTTATCGAGGAACAAGTACAAATCAAAACACAACAAGATCTCACATTCAATATACATTCAATACTGTGAATGTAAATAAGATATTTCTTGTTTGAAGATGAGGAAGAAGAAAACCAAAACCTTTCTTTTCCAGTAAATAATACCCCAATGTAGGTATCATATGTGAAGTCAAAATGATATAGAAAATTCCGTTTTTGAATATTGGGTACACAATACGAATAATAATGAAAATAATATTCATTTATGAATAAAAAAGGGACGGAAAAATGAATTTCGAAAAAATCTTCGAAAGCTCATATCATCATCTTGTGTCTGGTGACATAATATTCTGGTGTGATATTAAGAATCAAATGGAATTCAAACAAAATAATGAAAAATGAACCGAATAAAAAGTGAGATTATAGATAAACCTCGATTGCATGAAATGGAAATGGATACATGAGAAACATGAGAAATGGATACATCAATTTTTTTACCACTTTCATTCGTACCTAACCAATGTTGTCACTGCAGTTTCATTCCGTGAATACATTTCCAAACAATTACAATAAACTACTACAGAAAGCTCGAATATCTTACAAAACAGAAATTATACTCACTGGATCCATTTGAGCATAATCTTCTCCTAGTAATGGTATCTTCAATGTTTCGCAGATGAATATGGGGCCTGGTCCACTCGAACAAAACCTATTGAGTTCATCATTTCGTGGGAACAAACTTCCATTCCAAAGATTCTCAAAAAATGGCTACAAAAATATAGATCGATGAAGCAGCTTGAGCCATATTTTAAGAAAGTGAATAATAATATTTTGGGAGAGAAAAATGTATACAGACGGGAGAATAAATATAACAAAAAAACTCGGTACACCATGTTTGACGTCAGTATACGAAAAGGAAAGTTTGATTACCACCTCGTTACAACCTTTTGACGTCCATATTTTTATCGACTTGAAGAAATGGATAATAAGTCAGCATTTCCAAACTAACAACAAGCTTTAAAATACATATGAATATTATAAATGATATTTTGAATATTGATCAGCTTAATTTTCAACTATGATCTGTCAGAGATCAAAAACTGATAGATTAACTTGCCAAAATTAATAAACCCTTTGATATGAAAATTGTTCGTTCTTTCTGATTGTAATTTTTGCAGTCTTTCCATTGTATAGTTAGGTTAGGTCCAAAGTGAGTGGGTCTATTCGACCCTCCATAGCAACCCGCGAGGGTTTATTTTGGCTCACACTCGACCAAATAAACCCAGCTTCTTAACGAAGCCGATTAGTTTGTATGGTGAGCGGTCTTTCAGGTTAGATGTTAGGAGTACGGCGGGGCAGGCACAAAGTATATGCTCTGCTGTTTCATCGTTAATGAGGTAGTCGAACAGTCAAGGTGCAAGATTCCCACATTGATACCCTCGACAACCTTTTCATATGAGGGTTTTGGCATATCAGCTACACCTGACGATGCCTTAGATTCAACCGTGCAGGGCTTTTTCGCCTCTGGTTTTGGTGAATCATCACTTGAACGCAAACGTATTCCAACCCGTTCATGGGGGGGTTTGTTCCTCCACCTGAGACAGATTCTGCGTAAGCCTCTGAAGAATTTGGTGCAAGGCGGTTTCATAAGGTAGCCCGCTCTTGAGGAGACAACTCAGTCGTTTCCTGGCTGCACCACCAAATCTTTTTTTTTGGTTTAGTCATTGGAGAGTTCGGAAGCTCTCGCTCATGATCTAAATTCACAGGGAGGTCAGTTAGAGTCGTGAGCTCGACATCCATCTCCTGTGTAGACTCGCTCCTGATCTAAATTTACAGGGAGGTCAGTTGGAGTCGTAAGATCGACATCCATCTCCGCAGAACCGCAGAACTCTGCATTACCGTGACACGGCGATGCTACGACGAGAAGGCGCCCGGTATCTCCAAGGTTCTGTGGAGTAGAGACAGCTGATAGGGTCAGTGTCATTCATCCTCTCGGCACGGATACACACACCTTAGGATTAAGCCATCATTGGGATGCCATTCAGCATGCACAGTGGTTCAAGCAGTGAAAGATGAACAAGGACAGCCAACCCGCCACCACTGTATAGTACCAACAACTGTTAAATGGAACGTTAGTTTTCCACAATACTCTCACCTTTTAATTTCAGATGCGACAAGGTAGTGACTAATTGAATATTTCTGCCGGAACTTATTGTACACATACATTTTTCAGGAAAAACATCACATTTTATCTTCACTTTATTTCTCTAGTTGAGATCTCAAATTGATCAAAACACCCAGAATAGTCCAAGAAAAGTCTTCTTGACATTTTGATTTTATATAAAAGAAAACTATTTCAGATGTTTTACTTCATGATAACTCGTTTTATATTCCACAACTTTGATCTGTTTTGATTTTATTCATACCTAATCATAAATTCAAGGTCTTATGAATTATCTCAATACCAAAAAATCTGACATGCTCGTTGAACAGGATAGAACCGCACTTGTCCACGCATAACATTATGATCATACTTACAGTTGCATTTTCAGAAAAAAAGTGAAAAAAAAAGCTCAGGAAGAAAAAAAACAGTATCTCCACTACCACATTGATATTTCAATCGCGTCATACGAATATTCATCAATGGTTTCTTGTCGATTCTTTTCAATACGAACAATGTCATATTTTTGAGAATGAAATAATGAAAAAATCATCATGACCAAGAATTTATTTCCATTTATGAATTTCAATATTGTTCATGTCTCCTTTTTTAGTATTATCAACGTACTTACCCTAATCATTGGCCAAATTGGGGCACCCATTATCAATAGTGACAGTGAATTTACGAATGTCGAAACGGGCGCCAATAATATCACCCCTAGCAATCTGTTTTGAGCTTCAACTGGATAGGTACTGGTATAAACCAAAGTTGCAGTTGTACCCATTGAATAGCTGATTATAATTGCTTTTTGTTTCGTGAGGAAAAAAACAAGTTTCAGTGTACTGCGTAAATCGTAAATACCCATCTCGTGAAAACTGAAATAAATTAAAAATCAATGTTGAACATTGTGGAAATTCCACATATAGTTATAGTTAGTATTTTCTTCATGAAACTACAAATTATTATTAGTAGAGTGCATGGACGATTAGAAAAATGTTTTGTCCTGTACATCGAGAATTGAATGTAATCTGAATTCTGCCCATTCCAGGTGATATTTCATATTCTGACTTCCCGGATTAGTCATTATAATTTTTATCAACGATTTCACTATTAGTATTCATTGATTCATTCATCATTCGAATTGTTTCGATGTACCTGACACCGCTTCACTGTGTTTTGATCACCTTTGTGTGCGATATTACATGAATGTGCGTAGATATGCGCATATGGTGTAATTTGGATATGCGTATGGGATATAATTTGAATCTGTGCATATCCATTTGAGTAACAGAGTACTCCAAAATATTATTGAGCATAGTGCACGTGATCTTCTATACTAAGCTGCTTGTACAGAGTTGTACTGAGGAACAACTGAAATTTAATTTTTTTGAAGTGATAACTCCATATGGGAAGGTGAACCGCTTCGTTACCCAACGCGTTACGGCACCAGTCTGTCTGGCTTCCCTTTCTTTCACGCATACGTCAGCAGAATGCAGGTGCCTCCTCTCTCGTTGGACAGACGCTCAGTGTTTAGTGTGTGATAGACATATACTGTTGACAGTATTTCAAAAAACTGACCAGCAAGCATGTTATATTCTTCAATTATATGAAATGTGGCTTAAAAATGATGATAGTAATTTTGTGTATGCAGATTATCAGTATCATTATTATAAGCTTTTATTACATTATCATATTAATATAGATAAAATTCAAGTAATAACCTAAACTTTTCCCGAAGTAAAAAATTTCAATATTTCAACTCTAATTAGTTAAAGTTATCACTTCTGTCGGGCGTCCCGAGATTTTCAATAACATGCAGTTGAGTACATGAAAATTTTATTGGTGGTGTATTGGGACACATATAAGCAGTTTCTACAGGCGTATCAGTACTTGAAATTTTAAAACCTGA